CTATTTATACTTTCCTTTCCTTACCTTGCACAGTTTCTCAGTTCTTGAGATAGTCACCAACTTGGATTTTTTCTTGTGGATCACTCAGTCGTGGACACTGTCTTTCTTGGAATGAGTTGATAAGTATGGCTGCCTGGAGTTAAATAGAGGTGTGTATATATATATATAGCTCAATGAGATAGTCAAGAGCCAAGGACCAAAGCACAGTGACCAAGACCTTAGGGGTGAGAGGCTAATTTCCAGATTAATCACATGGTTTTCAATTTGGCACAAACAATACAATTAAAAAATTCACAAAACCCCATATCCAAATTTTGCACCAGCCTTCGGCAAAGTTCAGTGGTGGAGCTTTTGAAGGCAATAATGCAATGACTATGGTGCTTTGCCCACCCTGCCAAAATGTACAAGCCCCTCTTCCCTTTCTATTTAAGGAAGAATGAGACATTTGAAACTCTGGAACAAATGGCTTCACTCCAGAATCCTTGGAGAGATCCAGCAGCAGCTGTGACAGACAGGGCATCTCTAGTAACTTCCAGAACTCACCACCCCATCAGAAATTATATTCAGAAAGGACATTTCCAAAAACAAAACAAACAACCCCCCCCCCAAGAAAAATACACACTTTTGTCTTCAAGCTATACTATTCAAGCTATACTATGAAAAAGTAAAGGAACAGATTAGTGGGCCTGATGGGAAATTGATCAGTTTTTATTAACAGAATTAATAGCCATTGTATGAAGATATGGCCAATATATGAAAATATCCATCCAGCCATATGCACACACCTGTTCAAACATGATATTTAAATATTGTAAAATATTAAATCATCCTCCTCATCCTCATCCTCCTCATCATCAAATTTGTAGATAACACTAAGCTGGCAGGAATAGCCAACACTCCAGAAGATAGGCTTAAGATACAGAAGGATCTTGGCAGACTTGAACATTGGGTGCTATCTAACAAAATGAAATTCAATGGTGAAAAAAGTAAGGTTCTACATTTAGGCAAGAAAAACCAAATGCACAGGTATAGTATAGGTGGTACCTTGCTCAATAGTAGCAACTGTGAGAAGGATCTTGGAGACCTAGTGGACAATCATTTACATATGAGCCAGCAGTGTGCTGCAGCTGCCAAAAAAGTCAACACAATGCTAGGCTGTATTAACAGAGGAATAGAATCAAGATCACTGAAGTATTAATACCACTTTACAATGCCTTGGTAAGGCCACACTTGGAATACTGCATCCAGTTTTGGTCACCAAAATGTAAAAAAGTTGTTGACTCTAGAAAGAGTACAGAGAAGAGCAACAAAGATGATCAGGGGCAGTGATGGGATTCAAATATGTGAGCAACTGGTTCTCTGTGTGGATGCCACTTCTGGAAATCCATTCTGGGCCTGGGCAACAAAAAATTAGTACCAGTTCTGCCGAACTGATACGAACTGGCTGAATCCCACCACTGACCAGGGGACTGGAGGCTAAAACATGTAAGGAACAATTGCTGGAATTGGGTATGTCTATTCTAATGAAGAGAAGGATGAGAGGTGACATGATAGCAGTGTTCCAATATCTCAGGGGCTGCCACAAAGAAGAGGGAGTCAAGCTATTCTCCAAAGCACCTGAAGGCAAGACAAGAAGCAACGGATGGAAACTAACCAAAGAAAGAAGCAACCTAGAACTAAGGAGAGATTTCCTGACAATTAGAACAATTACTCAGTGGAACAACCTGCCTCCAGAAGTTGTGAATGCTCCAACACTGGAAGTCTTTAGGAAGAGATTGGACAGCCATTTGTCTGAAATGGTATAGGGTTTCCAGCCTGAGCAGGGGGTTAGATGACCCCTAGATGACTAGATGACCTCCAAGGTCCCTTCCAACTTTTTATCATTATTATTATTATTATTATTATTATTATTATTATTATTATTATCATCATCATCATCATCATCATCATCATCTAGCCATTGTCTATCTACTGCAGGATGAAGGCCTGTTCCATATGTTTCCAACCAATCCTGACCTTTCTTTTGCCAATTGGGCACGCAATACTTGTTGATGTTGTTGATCCATCTTGTTTTAGGTCTTTTTCGTGGACGCTTTTTTATCAAGTGGGATCCATTCTGTGACTGCCTTAGTCCACCCGCCATCAGTTCTTCTTGCTATGTGACCAGCCTATTTCCATTTCAGTTCTTTTACTCTCTTGATGATATCATATACTTTAGTTTGTTCTCTAATCCATGTGCAGGTCTTCCTATCTTGTCTTGTAATGCCGAGCATGTATCTTTCCATGGCTCTTTTATGCCACTCGTAGCTTTTGTATTGTGATCAGGGCCTTAATGAGGTGAAGGGGCTTGTGTGGGTAAATGTAATTGTGGGCTATATCGTCGGACATGTATATATCCAGAAGGGTCTCCCAAGGCGAACAGGCCATGATAGGTACCCCAGACTAACACCGATCACATCTGCCAACCTGCATTGGACCAGCATGGCAAATTATGGTCTGTTCTATCATGAATTCCTTTTACAAGAAAAAAGCTAGCAGAAAATGGACATGGAAGAGTCCATCTGGGTAAATTAGCAAAATGGACTACATCATATCAACTGATAAAACCATATTCTGCAATTGTACTGTAATCAATCATTTAAATGTTGGAAGTGACCATAGAACGGTAGAAGCTAAAGTGAAGATAGACTGTAGAAAAGAGCATATGAAAATGATAAAGATGTCACCAAGAAAATAAAATAAAATGAAGAGCTGTTAGAGGAGAACAGTGATTTTTGAGTTAATCTATCAAATTGCTTTGCTCTATTGCAAGATTTGGAAAATATGAACATTACGGACCAAAATGAACTAATAGTCAAAAACATCCTTGAATCTGCTAGATCCATAGCACCACTGGAAAATCACTTTGTACAGTCAAAAATCTCTGATGAAACTATTGGTTTAATGAAAAAATGATGGACAATGAAGAATACTAGAAGTTTTACTAATAAACTGGAGTACATTGAACTTTGCAAGACCATAAGAAAATGTATCCAAGAATAAACATGTCAGTTTGACATAAAGCTTGTGAAAAAGGCAATTGAAGAAAACAAAAGGATTAATAGAGCAAAATGCAAGCTTATAAATACAAAAAAAAATTTTGCACTAAAATGTGAAGACGGCTCCGTGTGTGGAACAAAGTATTAAATGTCATTATATATATCACACACAAACACACTTCTAAGGAAATATGGAGATCTAAATGAGTTTGTTGTAAAGTATATTCATGGAACTGGAAACAAAAGATAAGTAAAAGATAATACTTGTGCATATGTTTGAATCAGTCTGACTCCTGCCAACTGCTTGGATTAGTCCTTATGGTTTTCTTGGCACATTTTTCTGAAGTATCTTTGTTCCTAGGGCTGAGAGACAATGACTGGCCAAAGGTCACTCAGTGAGCTGTGCCTAAGGGAAGACTAGAACTCTCCCTGTTTCTAGCCTGATATCTTCACCACTACATTAAACTAGCTTTCACTACATCAATACATACATTATTCACTTTTATCCTCTGTCTAAGGAAGCTCACACTATCCACCAGAGCAGTAACGAGGTGCTATAAAGTGTTAAAGGAAAAGTCTTTATCATGATTCAGTCCAAGCTGGGAATAAACAACATGGCGACTGCTTTAGAAAGAAGATTGCAGTTTATTGAAGAAGAGAGCCAGACAGGAAGATGGCTCTGGAAGAAAAGAGAGAATGTGTAGGGAGTTGGTTTTTATATCCTCTGGGGCTCTTGAGGTTGTTTCCTATTTCTGTTTGAGGGTTTGTATTTCCTGTGTCTTGTATTTTGACCTGAGTCTGAGTGTGTCCCTTTGACATCTGTGGGTTAATCCTATTATGTCCTGCCTTAAAGTTTGGGTGGGGTATGTAGATTTTAGGTGTCTTTGTCTTCCTAAGCTTCTAGCTGGGAGCTTCCAACCTTCCTGAATAGATTACCACATCTGCATTTCTCCAGAGCTGGTTTCTGCTTGGGGGAGGGAGACTTGGGGCTATTAAGAAAAAACTGGGCATGCTTTTCTGCCTCTTTAAGTTCCTTTGAGGGAATGTAATATTCTGCCCTTTTAATATTTCCTTCTCTGAGGGGGTTGATTTCCCACAAAAGTAATTCTTTGCTTCTGCCTAGTGGTTCTAGATCTTTGCAGCTGTGACTGGTGGTCTATTTTATAAAGCATAAAAGTGATGGATACCTGCAGCATAATGTTTTATTTGAACACATGCTTACCTGCCCAGAAAATGAACAATGATAATAGGGACTATGCCAGTGGCATTGTCTGGGTTAAAAAGGGATAGATAATATTCTGATAATCCAGTGCTTTGTAAATGCTCCCAGACCATCCATTGGCAAATGGGCAATCCAACAGCTACTTTGCAAAAATTATCATTGTATGTTTTCAAATTTCCAAATCAGTCCACCAACACAAAACAATCAAAAATTCTTACGTGTAGTCATATATTTCACTTTAAGTGTTTCCATGACTAGTTTCTTAAACATTCATGATCAAATAGAAAAAACAATTCCAATTTTTGCTAAATTTGCATGATTGCTTACCATAGTTGCATTATCTCAGAACTAATGAAATTAATTCAGTTTTCTGGACTTGCACAATGCACTGGACCAATCTTTAGATATCCTTGCTGAGTTCACAGCTACTCCAGTAAAATACGATGATCAAGTTTGTAGCACAGTGCTTTTTGCAGACACAAACTACCACTGGCTTAACACATCACATTAAACAAACTTTACTTGCCAAACATTGCTCAGAAGAAGCATACTAATAATAGTATACCTGCAGTGTAACACTTTTCTATCAAAACTACTGGAAAGATTACTACTTGTGTATTGTATAGTAATAGGTTCAGGGTCCAGCCAGTAGGTGGAGCTAAACAGGATGTGGAGCAGCGATCGCTCTAGGAAGGAATCAAAATAGAGAAAACGGCGGGGAAAGTGAAGCATTTATAAATGAGTTGGAAGCTGCGGGGGGGGGAAGGGCTTGGGGCTTATTTGCTTCGGAAGTCAAGTTAGGTAAATATTTCCTTTGACTTAGTGTTGCTGCATGGTTTTTCTCTTTGCAGTTTTTGCAAAAAGTGGTAATTGTGTGTGGGGGGGGGGAAATCAGTTAGTTATCAAATTTTCGTGCTGTTTTTATGCTTTGCTGCAATTGTGCTAGTAAATGGTTCAAAGGAATTAGGAAGGGAGACCATGCCTGAAGTAGGCTCCCGGGAAACACAACTAATATAAGTGATTCTAACCAAGCCAATTATATTCTGCTTTAATGTGATGATCTGATTCACATCTTCTGCTAGGGAAATGACTGAGTTCCCACAACAAGCTATTTTAGTTAAGACTGGTCCTTTCTGTGAACCCAGTTACATCTTAAGACTTATGTTGTGAGTTGGCTTTGTCCACCTGTTTTGGACTTTCCTCCACTGAATCTAATTCACTTTGGTAAATTGCATGCAGTTTTATACAATAATGCATTGTTGAGTAAAGTGCTGTTTCTGTGCTGTGTCTATCAAAGCAAAGCCCTTATGTCATTCCTACATGACAAGGGATGTGATTCTGGGGACACAGGTGAAATATACTAGCAGGTCTCACTTATGGTGCTAAAAATGATCCAATTGTCTGCCTTTTCTATCTAGTCTCCTTCCAGGTATGATCCTTCGTGCGGGGCTGTGTCCTGGCCTCTCGGATGAAATGGTGCAGGTATTAAAAGCCAATGGCATCAAAACAGGTAGTTGATTGGGTGGCTGAGAATAAGGAGCAAGTTGTCCCACAATTTAGGGGTTACATTGGCTATAGCGAGCAGAGTAGATTCTTCAGAGAATCCAGAAATCTCTTCCAATTTTAATTTTTGTGCAGCTAGAAAGTGTAATGTGGTTGGAAGAATTAGTAGGGTGAGGTTAAGGGAAGAGATAAGGATTCAGAGCAGTGATGGGATAAGTTGATCAAGGAAAGAACAAAAATGATTTTTATAAATGGAATGCATGGATGACCTTGGGGAAAGAGAGGAGGAGATGCAGCCTAGGAAACAACCAGCTGAGAGGCAGGAGCCCACAGTCATTTCAAGGTCAGAGGAAAAAAAAACTTAGGAAAGACTTGCTCTAATGAATCAAGTACATTTGTGTCTTCAGATTTGCATGATTTTCTTAATGTAGCCTTAAAGAAAGTAGAATTAGTTCATCTTATCATGTCTCCTGTCTAGTGTACCCAGGAGGACTGACAATAAAAGACTGCAATTACTTTATGGACTTTTTGCTAAAAATACATAAAAATGAATTGGGGATTTATTGATTCAAAAGCTTTAAAGAAGGAAGAAGGAAACTACAATATGTAATTTAGGGTGTTGAAGATTGCAATTATATGTTTCTAACTTTTGCAAAGAAGATCAGAAGTTGCTTCTTTTATTGCTCACATTTTCTTTCATTATTTTATATTTATTTGTTTTTTTCTATTTTTGTTTCAGAAGTTTTTAAAACTTAAGTAAAATATTTTAATAAAATTGCATTAAAAATCTGTGAATGGGATAAACCAGATATATATATTTTTCAGCCTCCCCCCTTCTCATTTGTTTTAGGTATTGTAGTAGCTTTCACCAGGTATTGTAGCTTTCACCAAAAGCTACAATACCTGGTGAAAGCCATGTTTTGTGATGGCATTTCCCAGGAATCCATAGCAGTACCGCAAAGCAGCATTAAAATCCACAATAGATCTGGATTGACACATTGTGCTAAGCCAGTGGTTCTAAACTGTTGATCCAGTTTCCCCTTTTCTTGGTCTCAAATAATGTTATGACCTCCCCCCAAAAAACAGACTTGGCAATGGTGATCCCACACTGGATCTTTGACTACAAACAAGGAATTACAAGTTTTCCATTATTCCCAAGATATGCCCAAATTACCCGCTGGATAATTATTAACCCCAGTTATTTATTTATTTTATGAGACTTATATACCGCTTTAAGTGCAAGCACTCTCTAAGCGGTGTACACCAGTAAGCAATGTATATATATATTTACATTGTCCCCAACAATCTGGGTCCTCCTTTTACCTACCCCGGAAGGATGGAAGGCTGAGTCAACCTTGAGCCGGTGAGATTTGAACCGCTGACCTGCTGAACACAGTCAGCTAAAGTGGCCTGCAGTACTGCACTCTAACTGCTGCGCCACCTCGGCTTAATAATGGTATTTATTTTAACTATGATTTGTTGAGTCAAAATGGCTGAATTTACATTCAGTTTGAAGCCAGGAAGAAACAACCCAGATCCTTGGGCTAGTACAAGTAGTCCTTGACTTACAACATTTCATTTAGTGACTGTTCAAAGTTACAACTGCACTGAAAAAAGTGACTTATGACCATTTTTCACATGATTGTTGCAGCATCCCCATGGTAACATAATCAAAATTCAGATGCTTGGCAACTGACTCATATTTATGACAGTTTCAGTGTCCTAGGACCATGTGATCAACTTTTGCGACCTTCTGACAAGCAAAGTCAATGGAGGAAGCCAGATTTATTTAACAACCATGTTACTAATTTAACAACTGCACTTAACAATGGTGGCAAGAAATGTAAAATAGGGCAACTTAAGAACTGTCTTGCTTAGCAACAGAAATTTTGGCTCAGTTATAGTCGTAAATCAAGCACTTCCTGTAATGTATGATCCATTGACAAGAGCCAGTGGTAGGTCATAGATAGATTCTTGGTAAATTGGGTGTGTAGTCTGATGGAAGAGAATTTTTGTATTATTGTTGGGTAGTTTGTAGGGTTGGGTTTTTTTCTACATGAAGCTTTTTCCTATTTTTCAACTCCTTTTTCTCTTATCTTCCCAAATGTTTTATAGTGGTTGATCTTGTCTCATCGGATCTGGAGGAAATTGCCCAGAAGTATTCTTTATCATACAAGGTGAGTACAAGGAGTCTCTACAGATGATTATTACATATTTCGCCACACAAAATGTTGCATAGTTCTGACTGATCAAGTCCTAATAAAACAAGAACAAATAAATATCCCCTGAGATTTCATTGTGATTGGAGGAATATTTATATTTGTTTTGTAGAACTTGGAAAAAAAAGAGAAACTCTTGAAATGATTTCTGTGATTGGTTTTATAAAGACTGATCTGTGAGGTGCTATTTAAGGGGTGCCCATCTTTAGGGCCATGAACATATTAGAGACTCAAAAGAGTAAGGTGGGTTTATAAATACTATTTATAACATTTATATTGCGTAGCTGTTCATTTTATAACTAACTCTCTCAGAACTAAGCTTCATGAGGGGTTTAAGAGGGCCAGTGATGATGTAATCAGCAAGGGTGGTCAATTGTGGCATATAAATATCATTGTCCATATGCTATCTTTTGGTGTCATTACACTTTGCAGCTAATGCTTCTTGGCTAATCAGACATTACTTGGGGATCTCTTTTCCCCTTCTGCCTAATTTTACACGCATAGGGATGGTTTGTTTCCTCTTCTTCCTTATACTCTAGTTCAGCGGTCCTCAACTTTTTTTTTCTTGTTTTTTTGTAAAAAAATTTTATTTTCAATTTTACATTACATCATAAAAAATACTTCAGATAAAGAGTAAAATAAATTTATACACATAACTTTCGGTATTGCTCACCCATTTCCCCCCAAACCGCATCCACCCTCTAACCTCTTCTCTCACTTCTCTTTCCCTCTTCTTCTTCACTCTCCCTCTCTCCTCCTTCTCCTCAACCTTCCTACTTATTTCTCCCCTTCCTCCTATCTTCTCATTCCGGATGCAGTTCAGGAGAAATGCCCAAGCAATTCCTCTCTCCAAAATAAAACATAATATTATAAACAATGAAACTATTTCAACTTATCTGAGCTATTTTACCTTCATCCCATCCCCCCTCCCCCCCTCCCCTCCGACTTCCCTTCAGTACCAGCTGGCTATTGAGCGGTACAAAGCTGACTTGTAGCTGCGGTGTTCTAGTCTGAGGTCTACTTTATCTAGAGCAGTGATGGTGAACCTTTTAAAGACTGAGTGCCCAACTGCAACCCAAAACCCACTTATGCATCGTCAGGTGCCGGGTGGGTGTGGCCAATTGGGTGAGTGTGGCCCACTGGGTGGGCGTGGCTACAGTGGTAAGGGCAGACTAGGTGGGACTAAAAAGTTCAATCAATCAATTCCAACTTTGCAAGATCTTTTTTTTCCTGTGAGAAGTTGAACTTGATTGATTGAACCTTTTTTTTTTTTTTTGCACATGGCGGCGAAGGCCTAAAGTGAAAAGGTTTTATAAAACCCAGCTGAAGGCCTAGGACTGGGGCAACGGCTCGTGTGCCCACAGAGAGGTTCGCCATAGGTTCGCCAGCACTGGTTTAGAGTAAACAGGGAAAAAAATTAATTAAAATGTTTGCTTTAATTAGGAGGGTAAGGGGTTTTGGTGGGCACAATGGAGAACAGTATCCCTAATGCTAATTGATATGCTAATTTATTGGCCTGTATATTGACCTAGAAGGCCTTTTGTTTATCAAGCTGAGTGTTTCCCAATTGTGGCAACTTTCAGATGTGTGGACTTCAACTCCCAGAATTTTCAATAACGGCCATGCTGGCTGGAGAATTCTGTATACTGACAACCATACATCAGGAAGTTTCCACAGTTGACAAACCCCGCTCCAGCTGCTGGTTGTTTTGTTCCTTGTTGTTAATGCTAAAGCTGCAGATGGTAAGGGATTGATAATCTTTTGTTACAGACCTTAGTTGCAGTACGACGTGTGTTGCTGGCACAGTTTTCCTCCTTCCCAGTCAATGGGGCAGATCTCTATGAAGAGTTGAAGCACACCACAGCCATCTTGTCTACTGGAATTGAAAGGCAAGGGGTGATTAATCAGAACACTGTGTTTTGTTGAGGGGAACAAACTATCTAAAACAGACCTGCTCCATTAATTTTTAAGCTTACATATATAAGGGTTACACCACAGAGATGCAGGGGGCATTGTTCCACATCCTTGCAGAGCTAAGTAAAAGAGCAGTTTTCCATTGTTTTTTTTTTTTTTTAAGCAGAATATAGCTGGTGGCTGTACTTTCACCATATATTTAATTACAGTTAACTAGACCACACTTTTACTTCACTCCATTTTTTACAAATCATGCTAGGTTAAAATGAAGTTCACTAACTTGTGCCTCACTCTGTGTATGGACCCCAGAAGTCCTTACATCTTCTGTATGGCTTCCGTTAGGCTTATTCCTAATTGAATAAGCCATGATTCAGTTGACTGGATACGCAGTTTGTGCTCTTTCAATCACTGTGTCAACTGTTATGATAGCACTGCTGTTAACTGAGGAGGGGGATAGGAGTGGGCCAAGACTTGGGCCACATTCCTTAGGCTTCTTTCTCATAGTGTATTGTGAGAGCAAAAGCAGGAAAAGACGACCACTTATACTATGAAAGATTAATGGGGAAGGAAAATGTATTGAATTTTAACTGAAGGTTACATGTGTGATCTTTATTCTTTTATATAGTATTTTTATTGAATGACTAAGCTGCCTAGCATTGTCTTGACGAGATGGGTGGCATAGAAGTTTAATAAATAAATAGAAGCGCAATAGCAATAGCACTTAGATTTATATATTGCTTCACAGTGCTTTATAATCCCCATAGAGTCAACATATTGCCCCCAACAATCTGGGTCCTCATTTTACTGACTTCAGAAGGATGGAAGGCTGAGTCAACCTTGAGCCTTGAACTCTGACAATTGGCAGAAATAGCTTGAAATACTGTATTCTAACCACTGCGTCACCATGGCTCTTTGAAATAAAGTGTAAGAATAAAAGTAATTTACTGTTTTATAGCTGTCTATTTAATGATGGGTGTTTGAAAAATAATAATTTATTAAATTTATATGCCACCCGAGTCCCTGGAAGTCTGGGCATGTCGTGTTTAACCTATTTAATTAGACACAGCAGCTCAATTTAGATCTATTGTGAGCAGAAAATGAGAATTAACAATCCCATGAATATAAGCATGAGCTTTAACTGGCAATACTTGGTTTTTCTATTAGATGCATATCTCACCTTTCCTCCAGAAATTCAAGGTGATTTCAGGAAAGGCAGGTTATAAATCTAATGAATAAATAAATAGCCATATAACAACCAGGCGAGGGAAGTGAACTAAGAGATAATGACTGCCCTTAAATTGCCCAATTAATTTTCTGTGGTCGAGGAGTCTTTGAGTATGGATCCAAGTACATTAAACAGTATCTTGCCTGTTCTGGATCAGTTCTCTGTCCAGAGCAACCATCCATTCAGCCCTAGTTTGCTGTAAATTCTTTTTTCCCCCTCTTAATATGGCAGAGGACAGTCTTCCCCTTCCCAATTGCTTGTAGAAAGATTGGCCTACAATGAATAATCATTGTGGTTGGGAATGACAAGAGCTGTAGTCTGACATGTTTGAAAGCTTCTGGATTGAGCAGGGTTGGTGGGCAGATGAGCTGCTGTGAAAACTGTGACTTGCCAGGGATGAAACTGGCAGTGTAGTCACTCTGGTTTGCTTTGCCCTCTTTATTTTGGGCAAGCAGCAAAATTGAATTTCTGATCCTAAATAGAGACCATATTCTGGCTGCTCCTTTGTCCTTCAGGAGAGAAGACCCTGAAAGGGAGACATATGTGAAAAAGTGCAAGATGAAAACTGGGGTGCACATGTCCTGAAATTCTCATTCCTTCCCCCCCCCCTTTTGCTGTTATAGCTTGGACAAACTTCTTGACTCGGGTATATACACAGGGGAACTGACAGAACTTGTTGGAGCACCCAGTGCTGGAAAAACTCAGGTTGGCTGTCCTTGACATATTTGATTATTAAACAATTTGTCTATTACCTTCTCATTGGACTTTAGATAGAATACAATCTTATAAAGGTGAAATATGTATACTAACATGAGGAAAATTATGTTTTACTCAACCACTGTCAACTGTGGTGGACTCTCCTTTTCAAAGGCCCAACAAGAAATGACTTTTCTGTTTTTGACATTTGTTTTGCTTTATGCTAGCAAAATGCTTTTTGTAACACAGGTGTATCTATCTAGGGAGCACTTGTACACTGCAACAAGCAAGATTATATGGGAGACAGATCCAACATTGCTATAAGTTGTCAAAGATATACTAGGTTCTCCCTATAGGAGTTTTGTCAGTGGATATTGGTTTACCTTATATGAAAGGAGGAGGGCAGGATTTGAATCAATGAGTTCTATTCTTTAAGGCAGGGGTTTTCAAACTTGGCCCTTTTATGACTTGTGGACTTCAACTCCCAGAATTCCTCAGCTAGCATGCCTGGCTATGCTAGCCTTTGTTGCAGAGATGGGTTCGTCAGCTATCCAGCTTTTCTTGCAGAGATAGGTTCGTCAGAAGATTGGTCTGTATGGTATTTTGAGCCTCAGGACAAGATAATACATTTCCACATAGGGAAGCTGATCAGACTGCCAGTGGCATTTTTATTATTAGAACCGGGGAAATTTTCTCTGCTGCACTTGAGGGCATTAAGTCCTCTATCACAGGGCTTTTCGACCAGTGGTACGGGTACCACCTGTGGTACATTGGCACCTGGCAGGTGGTACGCAACCATCCTAGAAAAGTGGTAGCGGGGGAGGGGAATGAGCTGAACCGGTAGCAGCACTGCACAAGCCTGAGCGAGAGATGGCTGGAGCTGCAGGGCTGTTGGCTCAGTGGAAGTGCCAGGATCAGCGCTTCTTCGGGGCTATCAGGGCTCAGTGGAAGTGCCAGGATCAGCGCCAGGCTCCAGCTGGAGCTCGGCGCTGATCCTGGCGCTTCTGCTGAGCCCAGAAGAAGCACCGATCAGCTGGAATGTTGCAGCATCTCCAGGGTCTTGTGATTTACATTCAGATGCTTGGCAACTGATTCATATTTATGACGGTCACAGTGTCCCAGGGTCATGTGAAGTGACCAAAACTGCTGCAACCACCCAGCAAATGAGAGAAAAGCCGCAAAACAAGGTGGCTGACTTTTAAAATTAAACCTTGCTCACATATCATGCTAAGCTATCCATAGTTTTATGGTTCCTATATCATAAGCCAAAATCAAAGCAAACCACATTATGATGTTCCTATAATTACTGGCTTCAGTGGGATCTATTCAGGAAGGGAAAAGCACAATGATTGCTTTTGCTTTTTGGAGGGGTGTCAGTGTAGTGGAACTTTTTCCTATCCATGTGTAAATTGTCTGAGGAGTGAGTAACTTCCAACCAAAAGTTTTTTTTCCTTGACTAAGCAGCCTGTCTAAGTATTAGTCCAAGTTTAGTAAAAAATTAACTGTGTGGTTTTACTTGTAAGGAGGAGAACAATGGTTTTCCTTGTTAAGAAAGCAAATTGCTTATGAAGAAAAGTAGCATACAACAAAAAAAACACCCATTATGTCTTTATTTAATGATGTGTGCATGTGTGCTATCAAGCATTGCCTTAGAAAAACTTTCTTTTTGCTTGAAAATTTGGAGAAAGAGGCTATTTTCTAAGCAGGTGCTCACCCCTGGGGAATTTTTTACAAGACCCACTCCGCTAAATATATTGGATAATATATTGAATAAATATATTCCTCCATCCTTCTCCTCCTCCTCCTGCTTGGATGCAGACTCATTTTGCTTCCATTTGTATGCAACTCGGTATTCTAGCTTTGTGGCTTATCATGCTATCTGAACTCCAAATAACTGCCATTTCATGCTGCCCAAATTCAAGATTCATCACCTGTGGACAAGAGTTGAAGTCCCAATTTGCGATTTGCTGGCTTTTTCCAAACTTTTGGAAGGCAGGCTACAAAAAGCTGCCTTTGTGCATCCTAATTTCAGAAATCACATATGAGTCTTAAGTTCTGCCTCTTGTTGTGTCTCTAGGTGTGCCTCATTGTAGCTGCAAATGTATCCCATAGTCTCAAGCAGACGGTCCTGTACATTGACTCAACTGGGGGCTTCACCAGTGCCCGTCTCCTGGAGCTACTGAATTGCTTAACTGAGGATGAGGAGGAGCAGGTCAGCTGAGCAGGAAGTACTTGTTGTGGGGTGTTGGTACCTAGAAGAGTATCTTCAATCTCTTAAGTTCACTGGCCAAATAAAGAAACATTCTCTTAGCTGGGATGTATAATACAAGTAATTCTCAATTTACAACAGTTCATTTAGTGATTGTTCAAAGTTACTACGGCACTGAAAAAAGTGACTTATGACCATTTTTCACATTTATGACCATTGCAGCATCCCTGTGATTACATGATCAAAATTCAAATGCTTGGCAGCTGAAACATATTTATGACCGTTGCTGTGTCCCAAGGTCATGTGATCACCTTTCGCAATCTTCTGACGAGCAAAGTCCCTCCCTCCCTCCCCATCTTTTAACAATATTTTATCCTGATTGGGATTTCTGTTTTTATTCTTTTAAAGATATTTCTGTATTAGGATTTCAATGCTTTAAAGCTGGAAGCTGTCCAAAGTCGTTCGCTATGAGACGGGCGGCAAATAAATTCAATAAATAAATAAAGTCCGTGAGGAACCCAGATTCATTTAACAACCTTGTTACTAACTCAACAGCTATAGTGATTCCTTTAACAACTGTAGCAAGAAAAGTATTAAAATGGGGCAGGATTCACTGAACAATTGTCTCACTTACCAATAGAAAGTCTGGGCTCAATTGTGGTCGTATGTCAAGGACCACAGTTTAAGGTATGGGCACTTCCACTCCCAGAATTCCCAAGCAGCATGCCCACAGTTCTTAAAGTTGCTGAGCTTAAAGAACACTGTTCTAAGCTGTAATAGGATGCTAACTACTAAATACTGGATGAGTAGGTCATTATCTGGAATAAAAGATAAGAATAAAAGAGACCCAGTTTCATCTGCAACCGTTTGAAATTGTGATGGTGTTGAACGAAGAGACTTGCAACTTGGGCCTGAAGTTATAGCCATTGCAGTGCCACTGTGGTTACTTGATCAAAATTTGGATGCTTGGAAATCTGCCAACGGTTACAACCACAGGGGCACACCATCTAGACCAGTGGTTCTCAACCTGTGGGTCGGGACCCCATTTGGGGTTGAACAACCATTTCATGGGGGTCGCCAAACAACGCAGTCTGCCATTTTTTCCCCCTTTTCCTTAGCTGTGCTACTCCCTTTTATTCTATTGGCTTTTGAAAGCCAATAGAATAGACTCTCTTGAATAGAGTCTAATTCTATTGGCTTTCAAAAGCCAATAGGAATTGCCCAGGCTGTCTCTGCCCTGCTGAGCCTGCCAAAAGTCCCATTCTGCAAACGGTGCTGCATCAATTGAGTCCTCGACTTACGACCAGTTGAGTACTCCTCAACTTACGACCGGTTGGGGGTCGCAGCATTAAAAAGGTTGAGAACCACTGATCTAGGCCCAGCTGCCCTATCTCTTCCCCATCTCAGCCACTCATTTGCCCCATTTGTGTATGAAAAGTTGCTGCAGCCCACAGGCCTCTGTCTGCTCCCCAGCCCACCAGGCCCAGGAGGCCTCAACCAGTTACAGGGCCCACCGGTGTGTGCAGTACACCCTACTTATCTTTGTGGGTATTTTGTAGCTGCTGACAGGCCTGCCCAGGCTATTCATGGTAGGTAGGGCCTTCCTAAGGAGGTTGCCTTGTGCCAATCTGCAAACAGGCACCATCCTTGTGATCATTCCGAAGCTTTGCTCTCAAAAATCATATGATTTGGCGAAAGGCTTCCAAACTATTACCAGAATGGAGCTTATCTCACAGTGCTTCGAAGCCTCCTTCTGCCAGCACTGAAAGGCTGAGTGTTGGAATGGCATAATTGTTAAAGGACTTCGTCATGAAGCAAATACTACAGTTCTAAGTTTGAATTTCATCTCTATCAAGGTGGAGCCTTTTCCAATCTGGTGCTCTTTGAATGCCTTGAACTGCAATTCTATACAACAAAGATGTATTGATTTAGTGGGGATTATGAGAATTGTAATTCAGTCATTTTAGAAGGCACAATATTGGAGAGCAAAGTTGTAGGTTAATCAATACCCCATAGGCTTCAAAGTCCTCCCCCACCCCTAAACCATGCTGGATTTTTTATTTTTAATCCCAATAGAGCTCTAGATGGGCAAGTCTAACTTAAACATTTACTGATACTAGGTACTTAATAGGTATTTGATTTTGAGTCCTCAAAAGCAACGTTAAATTAATGTATAACATTAAGATGGTTCTTCTACTGAAGAATGTTGAGCCTCTGGGCATCTCCAGAAGGATATAAGAAAAGTCAAAATAGTGGGGTGAGGCTTTGATCACATGATTGTGGCTACTCTCATGATTTTTTGACCCTTATCCTGTTAGCATGCAAACTTGACAGGGACATCCATGATGTGTTACCTTACCCTGTTCCTTTCTCCATTACCCTGTAGGCTGAGGCATTGCGGAGGATCCAGGTTTTTCGTACTTTTGATGCCTACAAAATGCTTGATGTGCTGCAGGAAGTCCGCAGTTATATGGCCCAGCAGGTGGGTGCTAAATGACCAGTGCTTGCTGTTTGTGGATGTATCAGAATACAGGGGTACCAGAAGAGTGAGGAGGGCAGGGTGGATAATATTTGTTCAGACCAAGAGCCAGCCTGGCTTTTGAGTGGTATGATGGGGGATTGTACACCAAAAATAAGTAAGGCTAAAATGAGATTTAAAGTTAATCAAGTTTCAGTTTCAGTTTGATTTAACGTTAAACTAAATCAGTGAAATACAGTTCACATGTATACTTCTACCTACTTAATATTTTTCTTTTTGTGAGATGGGCAGCTATATAAATTGGATTAATAAATTCTGCCTTTTTTTAACCTTAAAAATGAAACTTTTGGAGGATACTTCAAGTTGTGTTCCCTGTTTTAAAAAGGCTGGATGGTCATGCTGGCCATTATCCTGTTTAATCAGAGAAATCTGAAGGGAAGGGGAATGGACTATGTGACCATAGTCTTACTTTATCGCACTTTGCGACTGCACAACGAGGTCACCAGCAGGTGAACTGGCCTTTAGATCTGCCTGGACAGGCAAGAGATTTGAGGCTGGAGAAGGGGATAAAGATAATACACAAAAGAGCAAAGCTAGTATTATACGGTTCCCTGATTGACTTAATCCCTTTTACTGGGACTCAAACCTCTATTTTTCCTTTTCTATTCAGAATATTGCTTTTCACCATTAAAGTAACTGGGAAGACTAGAGTCACTCAATCTGGTCTAACTTTTTCAGTTGCAGCAGACATGCAGGATGGAGTCAACAATTAAGTGGCTAGAGATGGCAACAGACATTGTTATCTCTAGCCATTTAATTTTTGACTCCGTCTTTTCCAACTTGATGTGAACTTTCCAGTGATTCTCTGAACCACTTTTATCAGACAGTGAAATAAATCCTGCACAGTGTTTTGCATTCAACCAATGTTCATGCTTTTTCTAATCTAAAGTCCTCGGGTTGAGAGGTCATTTCTCAGATGAATGGACTGGAATTCTGATATCTAGCACATTCATAACTGCCTTTCTCATTCCCAGCAACTAGAACTAAAAACTGCATTTTTGTTCGGTTGGTCCTTGTTCTTAGAGAGAAATCTCACATTTCTTTCTTAGTATTTTGTAAATCAAAATAGAAATTGTACATACCTGTAAATAAAAATCAATGTTATTTATTGGACTCTGCATTGTCCTCCAGTGTTTATAACTTGACTGGCAGTACCACATACTAAGTTGAATCTTCAGTCAGAGGTTCTTTCTCATCCGTTCTTTGGCTTTCTATCAGTCTTAATCTTTTCCTAGCTAACCTAAAGATACCCTCCTGGTGTAACAGATCTTTTACCTTTGGTGGGTATATGGTTATCACTTCACAGTTAGCATAAGAGGAGGGAGAAATGGGAGTCTGCTATCACATTTGAAATAATTGTGAAAACTGATGGTGGACTGAAGAATCTAGCATTGACTACGCCTTGCAGGCAAGTGTTCCAAATGGATTTTTAAGAGGACAGCTGTGCAGGCAGAACCGTCTTGAACATCCAGGACCTAAAATAATAATAATCTAATAGTGACTACCTAATCATTCCCTTCTCCATCCTACTAGCCAACCCCTTTCCCTTCCTAGCCCATTATGGTGAATCCCCACCACAACCTCACCATTCCATTTAGCTTTTTTCTGCTCTCCCAAATTCCTGAAGACGGCTATGATTACAGATCTACTCAATATAATTAAAATAGGCAAACTCCCAGCCTATTCAGATGCCTTTGATCTAAGACTAGTATTTCCTGGTGCAGAATTTAGGCATAGATAACATATGGGACATGTGAACCCATGGCTTTAAGCTATAAGCAAAGTTGAGTTTTTGAATGTTTCTTCTTCCCCATCTACTCGCCTATTCCAAGGAAAGGTACCCATTGGCTTTTTGTAATTTCTGATTGGTATTTGTAATTTTATTTCATTTACCTTTTGCTTTTATTATTGTTTTTTAAGATACTCAGCACCTCTGGACCAGTAAAGCTACTTATTGTGGATTCCATTTCTGCTGTAATTTGCCCTTTCTTGGGACTTCGGCAGCCCGATGGTCAGTTGTGTACATCTATCATCACAGAGAATGTTTCTTAATATGCTTCATTAATGGTCCTATTGTTTTGCAGTATCATATCCTAGATGAGTCCATAGCTTAAAGCAGGCATGTCTAACCTTGGCAACTTTAAGACCTGTGGACTTCAACTCCCAGAATTCCCTTCTGGAACTTGGAAGTCCACAAGTCCTAAAGTTGCCAAAGTTGGACATCCTGGCTTAAAGAGTTAAAAATATAACATTTTGAAATATAGAGTACAATAGAAAGATTAGCAAGGCTAAGAGAAGTAAGACCACACAGGTTCCCTGATGACATTCGGTGTGACAATCTATTTTCTGCATGTTCAAAGTTCTGTACCAATAAAGTTTCATATGAATGAAGTAGAGAAGTATGAACGTAAAAGTATAGTACACAAAGATCAGAAAAGAACACACTACAGTATTTAAAATTCCTTGTTGCGGTTTGTTGTTGTTCAGTTGCTAAGTCATGTCGGACTCTTTGTGACCCCATGGACCATAACACGCTAGGCCCCTTCCTTTACTTCATATCTCCTGAAGCCTGCTCAAATTCATGTTCATTACATTGATGGCACAATCTAACCATCTTATGCTCTGCTGTCCTCTTCTCTTCCAATGAATCTTCTCTTCTTATTTGGTGGCCAAAGTATTTGAACTTCAGCTTCAGTATCTATTCTTTCAAAGAATAGGATTAATTTTCTTTAGAAGATATTCCTTATGGCAGGGGTCCCCAACCTATGGTCTGCAACTCAGGACTGGGCTGTGGGCTCTTGGCCAGCGGGCTGCAGAAATGTCTGGCTGGTGTGCACACGTGTGGGCGTGCATTTCCCCCCCCCACTCACGCTAGTGCCTGCGGCCGTTTGCGCATGCGCGTGGGCGCGAATGGGAATGCTAGCGCGTGGGGGGTGTCTGCAGTCTGTATGCGCATGTACCGCTAGTCCAGGTGGTTTGCGTGGCCCATTTGCGTATGCGCAAACGGATTGCTAGCTGCCGTGGGGGTGCATGGCCATTCACACATGCGCATGGCACCCGTACATGCCGCATGTGTAAATGGGACTGCAGTGCCGTGCCAGTGTGTGTGGCCCTGTGCGTGCGCGTGTGCACACACACCAGTTTTGAAGCTGCTCTCCTTCCCTCCAGTCCTCGAGCCCAGAAAGATTGGAGGCTTCTGCCTTATGGCATATCAATAGTTGTAAATAAACATAATACATTAATCTTCACCATTCCGTTTTTTTCTTAGGTATGATGTGACAGCTGCCACATCTTTCAGTCTCTGTGGCTGGAAATTACAAGAGATGAACCAGAAAACCTTTGTCATGTGTCCAGCACAGTGAAAGCTGACATAGAATGACATTAGACCTTTCATTCATGCTAGTAATAAACATACTTATTTTTATAAATTTATTCTATAAATAAATTAAGATGGTGAACATATCCAACACCTTCCACTTCCTATTTTCCCCACAACAATAACCCTGTGAAGTGGGTTGGGTTGAGAGAAAGTGAGTGGCCCAAGGTCACCCAACTGGCTTTCATGGCTAAGGCAGGACCAGAACTCACAGTCTCCTTGTTACTAGGCTGCTGCCTTAATAATTAGATCAAATTGACACTCTTCATTATATGGTGGTGCAATGGTTAGAATGCAGTACTTCAGGCTAACTCACTGGTCACTCACTGGTCACTGAGTCAACCAGATGCTCAAGGTTGACTCAGCCTTCCATCCTTCCAAGGTCGGTAAAATGAGGATCCAGATTGTTGGCAATATGCTGACTCTGTAAACCACCTAGAGAGGACTGTAAAGCACTGTAAAGCGGTATATAAGTCTAAGTGCTATTGCTATTTGATTCTCAGGTTTACACAACTAAATCCTAAACCTGTATTAATATAATTGCTATGTTTGCTAACCATGCTGTTCCCAAAAAATAATGTTATAATGTAAAGTGATAACTTGGTTCACAAATGTGCCACCCAACCCCAAGACAAGGTGACAAAATATTTCCATTGTTGACTCAAGCAGAAGCTTACAAGAACTCAGAGAAGCAATTATTGACAGATGCTCCATCTATCAAATGATGTCCTTCAGGTTGTGAAAAAAAAAAGTCACCCAAGGCCACAAAATGCCCATTCCAATCTAAGGCATCATTTCCCCATTTGGTGTCTTGAAGGTGTGTTGCATCACAACTGTATTCTAAATAAGCATTTGTAGGTTCACACTTCTTCCAGCTGATTAAAAAACTGATTTTTTTTTAAAAATCTGAAATCAGAGAGCTAGCTGCTGCTGGCTCATACAATTTTGAAAGGCTTCTCCAGCATGGATGTGATACTGAAAGTTTTTCTTGTTTCTGTCCTGCTAGGTGGGTGTATATTTGGGGGCAACCCCCAGGTCTAGGGGTCAGCTATGCTGACTCAGGAATTCTGGGAGTCGAAGTCCATGAGTCATAAAAGAGCCAAGGTTGCCTACCCCTGGTCTAGGGGAAATACAATGAATAAAGAGAATTGTACAACTTTAAGTGTCGTGATCTCTCGTTCTCCCTTCGTAGGCATGGCCCTTATGATGCATTTGGCTAGGGAGATGAAAACCCTTGCCAAAGAATTTGGGATTGCCATATTGGTAAGTATGTGGACCAGGCTTTTACTTATGCTTGCTTTTGGCTTTATGTACGCATGAGTGCTGTAGTTCTGCTCTTCTAGTGTGAGCTAGATCAGCTAACACGCTAAGACTGCTGCCACTGCCTGGCCTTTTATTCTAAAATAAGTTTAATCTAAAAATGGGAGGGGGTATTACTTGGATTTAGTAAAGCAAAGCATCAGCCTCCAGCATTACCTTTTACTTTTAAGATTGTGTTTTTTTTAAAAAAATAATAATAATGGGCCCCATAAACCATTTAGAATACAGGTGGTCCTCACCTGATGACTGTAATGATGGTAAAACTAACTATCTGTTATCTTTTAGTTGACAAATCATGTGACCAGAGATGCTGGCGGTGGTTTTAAACCAGCACTGGGTCGCTCGTGGAGTTTCATACCTAACACTCGGCTGCTGCTGGAGAAGAGAAAAGACAATTGTGAGAAAGCAGGTCGAGTTGCATCTTTGATGAAATCTTCTCGACAGGTGAAAACATGAAACAGATGTCTATACTGTGGCCTCCATATATCAGACTTCTGTAACTTAGTGATGTTCAATTGTGTTGGAAATACCTCTCTTAGAATTCCTTGCCAATATAGCCAAAGGTAGTTATTTATCAACAATGTAACCTAATAGTTAGGAAGTAGGATGGAAAACTTTATTGCAAGGAATAAATATGAGACCCGGGCTCGTTCATAATAGCTATCTTTCATATTAAACACATTCAAGTCCCTTCCCCCATTCCCAGGAAAAATAGCTTTCCCCAAATTTGGCACCTCTGAAAGAGCTGGACTATAGTAATAGTCCAGCTCATCCAAATATAATGGACTGCATGATTCTTAGCCATCATGTTTACTAACAACTCCCCTCAGTCTCAACCTGCATGGCCAAGTCACATGCTTGCTGAGCATAATGAATATTGTAGTCCATAGTTCTGGAAGGCACCAAAATTAAAGAAGGGTTAGTAGAGTTTTAGAGGTGCAGAAGGACTGTGGAGACTTATTATGTGGGCACATTCTAATGCAGTAGTAGACATGGCAGCACTCAGTGCTTTTGTATGAATGTGACAACATTTGTCAGTTGCTGTTGCTGGCTGGAGCTGATGGGAGACACTCTAGAAATAGAATACTAAGGAAGGCTAATTATTAGTACTATTAAGAAATGGGACTATGTCAAGAACTGTATTAAGAAAGAAGCACAGATGAAAAGATAGGAACAATTGCAATTTGTCAGGGACTTTGACTTTGCTCTAAGAGCTACAGCTAATTTGTGGTTTTGGATTCTGAGCAGAAAACATACCCTGCCTGTCCTTCATATTGATAGGCCTGTAATTTTAATTTAATTTTCAAGCATAACTCAGGAAGGGACAGGAAGCATGGAAAGGTTAATTGTCTTAAAGTAATGGGCATATTTGGAGTTTTAATACATATGGGCATTTTCACAAAATAGCTCCTGTTTTAGTAAAAAAAAAAAACACTACATTTTCTAGTTTCTTTGTTTACAGTACTTGGGCGGGAGGGGACTTTTCTAAACAAAACTCTAGAGCAGAGGTAGGCAACCTTGGCTTTTTTTATGACTCGTGGACTTCAACTCCCAGAATTCCTGAGCTATATACGGTATGGTCTTTATTTAAAGAGGCAATCTTGTAAATAGATAACACCTGAGTTCAAAATATTGTTTTTCAGGTTGTAGGAGTCTCATTTAAAGTTTAACTGAATGATTAGTAAAGCGGGATGAAGCATAGAATTGGAGCTATTCCATGGGAAGTATATGTGAGAATCTTGGTGCCTAGTGAACAAATTCAGAAGGCATGTCTCTGAGTGAAAAACTTAGAGATAAAGTTGGCCTTCCTTTAAGTAAGTTTAGAGGGATAGACAGAATGTTTCCATCCCAGGATGGGCAGTTTGAGTGACCCAAATGTGGCTGCAGGTATTGCTCATTTGGATTTGGAGTGTTCCAAGATAAGATTGTCTTTTAGAACACATGTGATGGCTTGTTTTGGGAAGAGAATTTTTTTGTCATAAAACATGTTATCTGTCTCTATCAGATACTGAAGTACAAATCCTAAGAAGGATTAGCCTGTATGACTGTTTTTTCCTCTAAATTTAGGCCATACATCTGCAGCCCTGGACAGTATTCTGGTAACACACTGATCTGAAAACTTCCAAAATGTACTTCTCTCAAACCACTGTTGAATACTTAGCTCATTCTTTATCAGAGAAAAGCAGTATAGAAATTAATTAATGGATATTCTTGTAACTTCTACTACTAGAGATTTGTAGTTACAGGTAGTCCTTGATTTACAGCCACAATTGTGGGGGGACTGGAACTTCCATCGTTAAGTGATGTGGCTGTTCAGTGAGTTGTGTCTGATTTTGTTTTTTTTTATTTTTTTGCTTTTATCACTTAGCAAATTGCTGCTACAGTTGTCAAGTGAATCATACATTCATTAATTGAATCCAGCTTCCCCCATTGACTTTGATTGATAGAAGATCCCTGGGAAAGTTGCGATCATGTGATCCCAGGATGCTGCAACCATCATAAATACATCCTAGATACAAAAAGCACCTGAATTTCAATCTCATGACTGCAAGGACACTGTAATGGTCATAAGTGTGAGGTCATGTCACTTTTTCCAGTGCCTATAACTTCAAACAGTTGCTGAATGAATGATTGTAAATCACAACTACTTTGATAGGCTTTCCTGCTACCGTGTTTTCCCGAAAATAAGACCATATCTTTTTTTTCCCCTCCAAAAGAGACACCAGATCTTATTTGGGGGGGAGGGATGTCTTTTATACTCACCTCTAGCATCGACAGCTCTGTCCTGCAGTCCACTCTTCTGCAGCTGAAGGAGCAGCTTCATTCTGTAGCTGCATTCCAGCCTGCATTTCGCAGTTAGGCCTCTTCAGCTGAGTACCGAGCTATGGATTCAATCGGTTCTCAGCAGAAGAAGTGGGCCGTTGGGGAGAGGCTTGGCTGCAAGGTAAGTGGATGTGGGGCATCTGGAGCAGCTCCACACCCCCCACCCTGCCCTAGCTTGATTTTTAGGTGTGTGCCTCACCCCAAAACTAGGGCTTATTTTGGGGGTAGGGCTTATATTAGGCCCACCCCCCAAATCAAGCTAGGGCTTATTTTCAGGGTATGTCTTATTTTTGGGGAAACATGGTATGTACTTGTATTGGGATTCTCACAGTATTCTTCTATTTTACAGCCTTTTGGAGTTCAGGCGGAATTAGACCTGAGGAACTGGGAAATGAAAAAAGGAAGTCCAGTCACATCAGACAAGGGACTAAATGATGGCATGGGCATGACTTCCTGATCCACAATTGGCTTTCCTGAACATTGCAGAAGGTCTGAAAATGTAAAGAACACTTCAGTTTTTAGAGGAATGGAAAATAACAACCAGTATCAGCCTTCTCCAAACAGAATCTGCCTCCCCAATTTATTGGATTTCAGCTCCTGAAATCCTGAAAGAACGTGATCTACAATCGGAGATGACCTGAAGTCGAAAACATTTGGAGGATTCAGATCCTTTGGTTGGGACTCTCATATTGTGTTGGTTAATGGAGGAAGTGTGCATTAGATTAACTAAAGTCAGGGGTCACTTTTCACCACTTGCAGTTTTTATAGATAAATGTACAGTTTGTCAATAATAAAGGGATATCGAATGGAATTGTTTATCCAAAGGAACTTCCATGTTCTTTGTATTGCTACGATGTATTGACATCCTGATCTTTGCTATGTGAAATAGACGTGAAACTGCACTGTATTGATTTTGCTTAATAAATCAAGCAAGTCTGTCATTCTATAAGCCATTAAAAAGGTAGAAATATACCGCAAATGATTTCTCGGGGCTCTTGTAGATGCTTTGTATAACAGGTTAGTTGATGAACCAGAACTCTACCACTAGTGATGAGCACATTGCCTTTTAGATATTTGAGACTTCAGTTGGTATTGGCCCCAATCCACTTTATTCTTGGTTTATACAATGGGATGATTTTTCATATAAAAATATTAATAACATGTAGAGAAGTGTGGCTAGCCACTGATGAGAATGCCATGTTCAGTTCTCTGTTCTTCCCTCCATCTAGCTATTTTTATTAATATATAACCAATTTATCTTTCTAAATATCTTATCAAATAGAAATAAAATTTAAACAGAATGTTAAGGAAGAAGACTGTGCAAAAGGAAGGGAATCAAAACTTATTTGAAAGACCTGAAGATGATTGAGGAAATACCTCTTCCCAGCAGTGAAGAAGCTGCATTTCTTCATATGTTTTAGCCTCCAGCTCCTTAATCATATTTGTTGCTCTTCTCTCCACTCTCAACATCTTTTTTATATTGTGGCGACCAAAACTGGATGTAGTATTCCAAGTGTGATCTTACAAGGCATTATAAAGGGGTACTAACACTTCACATGATCTTGATTTTGTCCCTCTGTTAATGCAGACTTTTTGGTTGCTGCAGCACCCTACTGGCTCATATTTAAGTGATTGTCCACTAGGATTTCAAGATTCTTTTTGCAGTTACTGCTATTGAGCCAGGTTTCACTTAATATGTACCTGTACATTTGGTTTTTCTTGCTTAAGTGTAAAACCTTAATTTTCTCTCTATATAATTTAATTTTGTTAGATAGGGTCAAGTCTGTTGCTATCCTTCTGGGGTTTTGGCTATTCTTGCCAGCTTGGTGTCATCTGAAAATTTGATGAGTTCCCCTTCTATTCCTTCATCATTTATGAAGATATTGAAGAGTACTAGGCCTAAGACAGAGCTTTGGGGTACCTCACTGCTTACTTCTCTCCATGTAGATGTAGTTCCATTAAGGACTACACATTGAGTGCAATTACAAATTCATCTAGTGGTGGTGCTATCTATCCCACATTTTTGTAACTTACCAAGAAGCAGTTTGTGGTCTACTTTGTCAAATGCCTTACTGAAATTCAAGTATACTATGTCCACAGCATTTAGTCACTTTGTCAAAATAAGATTTGTTTGGCATGATCTGTTTCTGACAAACCATATTGGCTTCTGGTTATAACTTTGCTTGCTTCTAGGTGTTCACAGATCTAGTGCTTGATTATGTTTTCCAGGATCTTCCTAGGTATTGATGCTAGGCTGATTGGTCTGTAGTTTCCTGGATCCATTTTTCCCCCCCTTTTATGAAGATGGGTACCATGTCAGCTCTTTTCCAGTTCTCTGGTGATTCCCCAGTTATCTGTTATCTATTATTTGTTAATTTAAAGAATTGCCATGATAAGTAGTAAATATTATTCATGTTGCCATCATTATATCCTATAACATGGATATAAATAATATCGCAGGGACAGGCAAGGCTCAAAAGACTACCTCTAAAATAATGATTGAATTGGCAGATTTACAGGATTGCAATAAGAGAAATAACTTAAGGATTAAAAGAGCATCATAGAAAACGAGCAGCTAATCTGACTACATACATTGTCTCTAAAATGAAAGACCTGAGCATCGACCTGAACTTAAATAATTATGTTGAATGTGCTCACCAGGTTTATTCTCCTAGAAACACATAGAAACCTAGAGACATTTTGGTTTTATTTCTGAACTCAAATATAAACCATAAAATTATAAGAAAATCATTTGGGCTGGAGGAGAGAAAATGGAACAGTGAAAGAATATTCTTCCAAGATGGCAGCTTAGCTACATTGCCCGAAGAAAAGAATTCAGACCACTGACAGATAAACATGCAGGATGAAATTCAATACAAGTGGGGATTCCCTTCCAAATTAATTGTTTTTAATGCCCCAAGGACAAAAAGTTATTTCTACAGAAGTCTTAGCAAGGACTGAATGAAGCAATCTGATTTGTCCTTGGAATTGTGGAAAGCTGGCTCAACCTCAAGGTGAAGATTAGATAAGCACATTGCACTGAGCACAGAGTGAAAGAGATTTTACTGACTATCTCTTTTTGAATTTTTAGTTGTAGAGATAGAAGAAAAAGAGTTAAGTAAGAGTAAAAAAATAAAGTCAAAGGACTACAGGTAGTCCTCGACTTACAACAATAATTGAGAAAAAAATATTGCTAAGGAAGGTAGTTAAGTGAGTTGCGCCTCATTTTACAACTTTTTTGCCATAGTTGTTAAGGGAATCACTACAATTGTTAAGTGAATCCTATAGTTGTTAAGCGAATCTGGCTTCCCCCATTGATTGCTTGCCATAAGCTCCCTAGGAAGGTTGCAAATGACAATCCCAGGACCCTAGGACACTGCAATCATTGTGAATACCTGCCAATTGCCAAGTTTGATCATGTGTCTGTGGGGATGCTGCAACTGTGTGAAAACTGGTCACCAGTCACTTTTCTTTAGTGCTGATGTAACTTTGAATGGTCATTAAACAAATTGTAAATTGAGGACTACTTCATACAGATAACACCCAACTTACAATTGGTCCCTTAGCAACCATTTAAAGACACTATGGACCTATTTGGAAGGTACTTAGATTTAAAGTTCTAGCAATTGCTCTGCCCAGTCACATGACAACACTTTGGGCAGGACCAGTCAGGCCACATTTACAGCCATTTGCAGTATCACATGGTCAAATGATTGCACAACGCTTTTGCCAAAAAAACCTGGCATTTACTTCAAGTTTTCAGCAAAACTGGCTTGTAGCAAGCCCATTGTTTAAAGATCACCACAAAAAAGATCATAAAATTGGATCCGTCATGTGGGTGGCCTGATTTATGACCAGTCATAAGTCATGGAATACCTATGGGTAAAACTATGTTAAAGAACTGTGGTAATTAAATGTGGGAGTTCATTGACTAGTGAAGGGAGAAGGATTCTTAGTTGAGTACTTCCATATAGACCATGAAGAAGATCCTTTATGGATCCTCTGCATTTTTTTTGCCATTGTTTTAAATGGGATCAAGGTTGGATGTGGGGGTATGGCATAGTGTGCAGGATGGGATGGAGGGAGGGATAAGGATGAAGAGTCATTTTCCAAGAGGAGAGGGAGAAGGGGGAGATGGTATGAATGCAGAGGAAAGAATACTAATAGGAATACACTCTCTATAATATCAAACAACTTTTTGATGTTGTGAGATGATCTGTTTCCTTTTTCTGATGTTCAGAGTTGCTGCAGTGTATTTGTTTTCACCTAGAGTTGAATAGAGTTCTTGCATAGCTTCTCTTGTGGGAGGTTGGGTTATTTGGTAGTTGAGCACTTGAATGGTGTGGGTGGAGGGGTTTTTTTTTTTTTTTTGGTACACTTGTGTTTCTAGTTTGCCTTCATAGTCTCTGCTGATCGGGATAGCCAGGAAGAGTAATGAGTTGTTTTCTTCTTCCCTGGTGAATCAGATTCCTTTGAAGATGTTGATGGTTTTGTGGGTGTTCTCTAATTTTGAGCACCAGGGACTGGTTCTGTGAAAGGTGTTTTTTCTGTGAATCGGTGGTTGTGGTTTCTCACACTGCCTAGATTCAGCACATGTGTGGATGAAGCTTCACTCGCTTGCATGGCCCAGTTCCTGCTGGTCTGTGGCCAGGAGGTTGGGGACCTCTGCTCCTTTAAAAATGATCAATATTTAAATTAAAATCTATACAAATTAATAAAATTAATAAATGTTAGCTATATGTTATTTAGAATATAACTTTTGACTTACTCAAACTACATTTTAAAAACAAATATTATCTTAAATTTGGTGCTGGGTAAAATGATTGAATATATCAACAGACCAACCAAAGCCCCATCAAATTTAATAATTATGATTCAGATTCCCATTACAATTTTAAGAGGTACTAAGCAAGGTTGTCTTTTTTCACTATTTCTATTTAACCTAACTATAAAAGTCCTGGCAATTGCATTTAGATCTAATAATCAGATTAATGGGATAAAAATAAGAGAGAAGATGTATCTTTTAAATCTATTTGCAGATTACATGATCTTGACTCTCTCAAATATTTCTCCTTCTATATTAAGAAGGAGTTAGAGGAATTTGCAGAGATGTTTGAACTATCAATTAATTTTCATAAATTGCATTTTATTTTCTTTCATATACCCCCAAAACCCCAAAAGGAAACTTACACAGTTTTAGGGTTTTCCAATAATACACAAATCTTTAAAATAGGCATCGCTCTAACTAAAATATTAATGAAACTTTTACAAATAATTATGTACCAACGTGGAAAAAGAATTCAATATTTTAGAGCAAATTGCAGTGGTTGAAATCAAAATTTTTGCACAGCTGAGCTTTTTATTTCAATGCCTCCCAGTGCTAATCGCAGAATAGGCTGAAAGACAATGGGAAAGTAAAAGAGAAAGCTTTTGTTTCCATGCACAAAAACTAAGAGTAAATAAAAGGAGTCTAT